TAAACAACAAGTGTTTTTTGGATCGATTGCATACAATGTAGTCGTTAGAGTCAGTGATTGTTCACAAAGTTTCTTGCTTTTTTAATAGTTGCACAAATTGTATTTATAAAAGACATTAGATGTGTATTAGAGTCAGTGAGACATCATTCAAGAGAATCACCGACCAATTTCGATGTCGACCAATCTCATTTACAATCAACTACGACGTATTATCCATCCTCAATTTCAAGTATTTTCGAGCCATCCGCAAAACTTCTTAAGTAGTAAGTGGAATTTTTAAATCTCTTCGATCACTCAATCATGTCAAAGACAGGAGATTCAAATTTTACTTTATATTAGTCGTTTGAGTATATTTTAATAATATACTCCTATAAAACAATAGAGATAGATCACAGAATTTATGATATTCATATGCGAGTTTTTTCGTTTGTCCTGCTATATGTAGATAATAGATATCGTTCGAATCATTTCTTTGTACTGTTTTATCATGCTATATTCAATCGTAAAGGTAGGAAACTTCTTTAAGAAAGGGGAAAAAAAAAAAGAAAAGAAAAAGAAGAGAAAAAGAAACACTCAATGATCGTCGTAACTTAGAAAATTTCTCCACAGATAGCAGCATGGTCTCGATTTTTTTTTTCTGAAATCTTTTTGGTCTTTAGAAAATTGCGTAGGAAGAAGCAACCGTAGTATAGAAGAAACTAATCCCCGGGGAAATTAAAAAGAAAAGTAATTATAGTCGTTAAAGTTACGGAAATTACACTCTTCCTCGACAAAGAGATTCTGTCGTTATATATTTTAATAGCCTAGCAGACGTCATCTTTGAAAAGATAAAGTTGTTATAAAGTTTCCTTTCTATAGAGATAATTTAGATATGAGAAAGATAATAGTAACCTCCTTAAAAAGGAAAGCAATTTTTATAGAAAATTTCAATTACATTTACATTATTCCGGAGATCAATACGATGATAAAAATCTTGGCAATCGTTAAATGTCCACAGTAAGGGAAAAGGATAGTAATGAATTCGTAAGAATAGAAAAGCCGTGCATGCCTGAGTTGCGAAATTCATTTAAATAAGAAACGCAAGTTATGGCTTTGACATTTTATGATGTATAAATATAAAAATATTTGTCAACGATATAAATGATATTTTGTTTTTCTTTTCTTTTTTTTTTTTAATCTCCAACCCTTCGTCTTGGAGTTGCGTCTCCCTTTAATTCGCATTGGAAGCTCGAATTTTGATCGTCGGTAAACTTTGCGATTTTTTTTTTTTTTTTTTTTTTTTAATGATTTATCAATCAGTTACACGTTATCGATGAAAATCATTGATAATGATAAGCAAACTCATTTTTTTTTTTTTTAACAATACCGTGTAAGTACCTACACAATCTTGATGTGACGATGTTATAAGAAGGAGGATCGATAAATTTAATTTCAATTTGCTAATGTTTGCTTTGTGATACGCATTTCTAATTGAAGAAGACATTGAATAAATCCTCGAAAGAAAAAAGGAAAAATAAAAAAATATATACCTCGTTTCTTATCTATCACGATGATTGGATCTGAAAAATTTTATATTTTTGAATTACTCGTTAGCTCCTCGATAGAGAAGTACGGTCGAGGAAATAGAATTTTTCTATGAGAACTTGGAGCCGACCATCCGACGTTGTAACCTTGGCCTCTACTGTTGGGATATCACATTAACACTCCAAGACACATATAAGAGATGTTAATGCTGGACACGCGATCGCGCGCGAACACGCACGCATATATATCTTTATATATATATATATATATAAAAGATATATAGATTATATATATATATAAAAGAGAGAAAGAGGGAGAGGGAGAGAGAGAGAGACAGGAAGAGAAGGAACCCTTTCGATTGACCGTTCTTTTCGTTCCGCGTTTTTATTTCAAAGGTTCGCAATAAAGTAACTTCAAAGAAAAAAAAAGAAATTATATGCTGCCGCCGCTTACAATTAGCAATAGCTCAGATAACAAAATGGCCCGATCTTTAAATCTTTCTTTCGTAAAGAAGCAGCGCGTTGACCTACGTTTTCATGCCTTCTCGTGATTCCACTCAATAAGATTGTTATCGTCTCATCCGTTTCGTGTTTGTTCTAAAAAAGATTTTGATATTTCCTTTGGGGACATTTTTATTTTTCTCGAAAGAAAAAAAGAAAGAAAAATTCTCCAATAATATCGAGTTACTGTATAAACGTTGTGCGTTAATCATGATTTAACTTTTTTTTTGCATTATACGCAAATAATAAAAGACCATGTGTGCTAATCTTATTATATCGTGTTATCCTACGATATTCATTGATATCATTGTAAAAGAATGTTAGAAGACAAGGATAATAGAGCGAAGTGCAAAGTTCATAGGTTCTTTCTATAGAGAAGGAAGAATTCATGCGATGCGATTCGCGCAGCACGGCACTACGACGCGTCACTTCCTGACCGCGTGAGTGAGCTCTGACCCGTTTTACGAAGAAAGAAGCCAGGTCGAGTCTCTATCGGCTGTCCATCTGGTTGGCGTGTGACCTTTCGCATCCTCGAGCCACCCCTTCTTTACCTTGCGAATAACGAACGAAGTAAGTCAGAAACGAAAGAAAGGAACGATCGAACAACGAAGAATCGCAAGCATACCTCTTACTAACATTTCTTTTTCTTTTTCTTTCTCTATCTATATTTCTCTGTCTCTTTCTCTCTTTCTCTATATTTATCTATCCATTTCTCTCTTCTTTCGATAGAATAGTAACAACCATATCGAAGAACAGCGAGCAAAGTACATAGCACAACGGATATATATATATATATATATATACACATAGACATACACATATACATATATATCGACGTTCGTCTTCGTTCCTTGTTGATTTGCAATTCCGATTCGACGTATGCTAATTTTCAAAAGCTCTTCTCGAATATCGGAAAACAATCTTCGCTTTTCTCTCTATGCCCTCTTAGATTTCCCCTGTACCTTCGATTTTCTTTGTCGTTCGTAAAAAAATCTTTTTATTTTTTTTTTTTTTTAATATTATATTTTTAAATATAATCGTGTGTCGATAATGCGATAAGACGTAACAATTCTCGAATAATGAAAGATGCGTTAGACGAGGACCGAAAAGTGGAAAAATGTATGTATAGAAACTTTTTGTCTCTCTTGACACTTCTTGAGGTTTTAATTTAAATAGAATACCTATAGAAATATCGCTTCTTCATACGATAAATTTTTTATGATTAAAGGAGTAACGCCGGTAAAACGTTCGATTAATTAAGATCTTTATTATAGCCTATACCTTCTTCCTCTTCTTTTCCGATAGGATATGCATCAAAGAGCGCATAAATTCGTAGAACGAAAGCACAGAGAAAATAAGTTTTCTTTCATATTCGTCTCGAAAGTGACGCTTATTATCCGTTTGTTTCTTGAACGACGAAATCGTAAAGTAGTGATAACGTCGTTTGAGAGAAAAATGATTTTATGAAAGTCAAGCTTAAATGTCAACTGGTTCGTGTGAAAATTCGTATATTAAAGGTGCATTCCGTTAGGAAGTTCGAGTTTTCAACGACGTCGCTCTCGACGGTTTTTACTTGAAGATTCTCGATAAGGGAATACGGCGAAAAACGGAAACCATTTTACCTGGCAAATGTGCGGAGTAGTTCCGCAGTTATCACGAAACGACGACAAAGAAAAAAAGAAAAAAAAAAAAAAAAGACAAAAAAGCGAGAGAAAGATACGTTTGCTGTGTTTAAGTTTGACAAGATGATGCGAGCTTAAAGAAAAGTATGAAAAAGCTCTTGATATTTTCCTATATAGTTTAAAAAAAAAAAAAAAAAAAGAAAAAAGTTCATGTTTAATGATGTTAATTTACTTAGCTTCGCGAGGTCAGCATACGACTCTTTCATCGATCATCTTTTATCACAAGCCACGAACATTAGTGAAATTCATAATTCATCTTCCTTAATCTCCTCGTATTTATATAAAATATCTACACATATAGATGTGTGTGTGTGTATATATATATATATATTTAATAAATATTTAAAATAATAAAATACAAAGAAAAAGATATAAAAGAACGTATTATAAATGTTTTTAGAATTATTAACAGGAATATTTACTTGTCAATATTTTATTAATCATGTGATATTTTGAAATATTTTTCTGAAGCTTTTCGTTTAAACAATATTAAATATCATATAACATATATATTTAATTATTTCAATTTAAAGAAAACTCACCCTGAATATATATATACATATATATATATATATATACATACATACACACACACACAATATACAAATATTGTACATGAACACTCTCGTTCAATCTCAAGATGTAATTTAGATAATCGACGCACGACACAAACGTCCTCCGTCTATTCTTCGCGAAACATTTTATATAAGATCGTTATCCCTATTAGACCCCTTTTTTTCTTGTTGTAACTTCGAAAGGATTTTCAGTGATTCGATCTATCAAAAACTAGAAGGGAACGTAAAAGATATGAGCGAATTCGAGAACGCCTTGACCCGTTTCTCTCTTTTTTTCTTCGTCTCCTTAGGTATTCATTGTCTCCCTTGTTAAGAGTGACGTCACGATTAGATATCACGTTTTAAAGTTAGGTCATCTTACTACGTCATCGAGTAAGTTCACGTTGACCAGAGGAGAGCGTTGCTCGCAAACGATAGTAACGCGATTTGCGTGTCGAGCCTTTATTTCGTCTTATCGAAACAAAATCCTAAGGGACTCTAAGTAAGTACGCAGTTTTTCTCGAATCGATCTATCTAAAGATTCAATTTCATTTGAATAGGGATAATATATAAGGAGATATTATTTAAAAAAAAAAAAAAAAAAAAGAAAAAAAAAAGATATTTCGTCTTTCTTTTAATTTTTTTTTTTTTTTTTTTTTTACGTAAAATCGTTTTTTCGCTCGAATATATATTATTTGTCTCTTATACTTTATAAAGTATAAAAAATAATTAAACAGTCATTCATTTTCTTATACATAATACTTTTGTTTTTATTATTAAGCGCATCGCGAAACAAAACGATTGGCCAAAGTTCAGATCATACCTATGACTATCGATTCTGTCGGCTAATTCGCTTGTAAGTCCCTCGTCGATCAACGTTAACACGCTCTCGCACTTCGTGCTTGAATAATTGAAGGCTCCTCGAGGAACGATCAAGCTCATCGAATTAGGTCGAGTAGTATCAAACTGATCGACAGGATTGGTAAGGACGACCTTGAGAACGTTTCGATGGCACCGCCTGTAACAAAAGGAAATGAAATCACGATCGATCGTGTTTTCTCGTCTAATGCGAAATAAATATTAACGACGACGTTGAAGGATGGAAAGGAGAAGGTTAGAGTTAAAAGTATGAAAATCGTGCAAGTCGCGAAAGGAAATGAAAACTTTAAAGAACGCCGATAATTCTCTTTGAAATCGATATGAAATCATAATGAAATTACTTTAGGAGCCATATTTTTTAAACTGGTTCTGTAGCTAGTACCACTGAATACGAAGTCTTACGGAAATACGAGAAATGTCTAAGATGAGATTCGTAATTTAACCGAGATTTTATCGATACAGTCGATCGCAAAAATTGTAATACACAAACGAAACGAAAGGTAGTTTGAGAAAGAAGAAAGAGAAGTTCACAGCTTGACATGCAAGAGGTAATTGTAGGTCACATTACTTCGTCATATAAAAAGTTTTTTATACGAATACAAAAATGGCACTAGCTAATGCTCTTAGCTTCGCCCTTGTTTTTTTTTTTTGTTTTTATATATATCTATATATGTAGATACATATATCTAGATAATATAAGTAGATGTATATACAATATTTAGAAGAATGAGAATATAGATATAAAAGGGTGAGAAGAAATTTGGAGGAGTATAAAAATTTTTCGATTGGTCTGATGAGTTTAATGTCAAGGTTACTTACCCGGTATAGCAAAAACTTTCAAATTCTTCTCGCATACGGTGTCATTGACCTGAACGTATTGCCAGTCGCACGTACACAGACCGTTCATGCAAATTGCTCGATTCTGATTGAAATCTAAGTAACACTCGCCGCGTGACATACACGATTCGCCGAGAACTGAAATAGAATCGATTCTGATTATTATGCTAATTCGATGGTTTGTTATTACGATATGTATTTATATTGAATCGGTACGCGGATGTTCTTTCTCTCTTATTTTTTTTTTTCTTTTTTTTTTTTTAAATAGCAATAATAATGAAGTTATCGTATATTCATACGTTTCTTTGTCAAACAGCTGGAGTATCTGAAGTAACGATCTTTGCCACAGCTGCAAGATTTAATCGACAAAGAGTTGTTCGAATTCCAGGAACAAATTGCATTTGACGTTACAGCATTACATTGAATATCATGCGAACATTCTTCCCCATATTTTGCTTCTAAAATTAAAAGAAAAATTATCTCGAGTAAATTATAACGAAGTAGTAAAAGTATTTGTTTAGATAGGGAATTATAATTTTTACTTGGCAAGCAGGTAGACGTCGAAGAGCTAATGTAACCTTCTTTGCAAGTACATACTCCGGAAGAACAAGAAGAATACATAGGTTGACAGTGCTTATTCAAAGTGCAGTTTGCATTTATACCTGAAATAATCAGAGGATCGATTAGAGTAACAAAATAAATTATCCTTGTAAATTCGAGTAATTTAATATTTGTTTACCTGGATAGCACTTTTTCTTTAACTCATAATATGACTTATCGCAAGTGCATACGTTGTTTGTGCATACGGAATGTGAGGTCGTACAATGTTTGTCGTTTTCACAAAACATTCCCAATTCTGAAATAAATGTGAATAGGAAAGTTAAATGATCGGTAAATAGGTGAGTGATACTTTCGTACATCGATCGAAATTCATTTTAAATTTACCCGCGTTACTATTTATACAGATCGTTCCGTTAGAGCTCGAATGTGTGCCTTCGGAGCAATAGCAAACGTTGTTCGTACAAACGAGCGTGCCGTTCAATCCTTCAACATAACAATCCTCGTTCACTTTACAACTCTCATTCATTCCTTTATTCGACCAACAAAATAGCAATTCTTCGACGAAATGAGATCTCTCTTCATTACACAGACATCTCTTATTTTTACAAATCGCGTCAGGACCAAAGATGGAGCACTGTTCGTCCCGTTGACAAGATGAGTTGTATTTTCTCGTAGCTAAAATATCGATCGAATTTTTAAAGTAAAATGTTGGCCTTATTTTTATATATATCTAAAAGTAAATTTACCTTTCAGACATTCTTGATTATTTTTCGACACGAGTTTTGTATTCGCGCATTTCCACACTTCATTTTTACAAATCGAGTTTTTAATATGCACTAAATCATTATTTTTACAATGTTGTCCAAGTTCTGTACGAAGAAACATTGTTAAGAGTTGTTACTTCTTTAGAAGAAATAAATTTCAAACTAATATGAAATATACTGCAATCTTTAGTTTACCTGGAACGCATACTTTATTTTTACTTGTAGAAGGTACAAAGTGTGCGCGTTTGCAAATACATTTTCCTGATGTATCACAAATTGCATTCTCATGGATTTTGCAATCTGAATCTTTGGTACAATTATTCCATTCAGTAATTGCTTTTGTCATATAAATTGAAATAGAATTATTGATCGTATCTCTATTTGTTAATAAATATCTATCATATTTATCGGCAAATAGTCTATAATAGGAATTGAAGGAAGTTCGCGATGTTATATTATAACTTGTTTTCTTTTCCTCAAGAGTACATTTAAAATTGACGCAGTGAGCATTTTTGTTGAATTTGCAATCGATATCGACTAAACATTCTTCGTTGATGTCTATAAAAGGAAAAATCGTATTAAATTATCAAATCATTTTATAAATTCCGCAGATAAAAATATCTGAATGTATCTTACTTGCTTTCTTACGACAGGAACGATATTCGCGTTGGTAAAAACCATCACGACATTTACAAATTCCATTATCGCAGACGGTCGACCCAAATTCAAAGTTTATATAACAATCATCGTCATTTTTACATTTCCCAGTAAGCTCTAAAATTTTTAAAGTTCACAAAAGAAGATTAGAGACCTGATCGTCGTTCTTTACTTCCCTCTTTCCACCCCTCTCTTCCTCTATTCCTTCCTCCACCCCACCCCTCCCTCTTATTTCATATCTTATCTTCTAGCACACACCACGTCATAATTTTCATGATCTTGCGACTTACCCAGTGTCTTGTAACATCTACCATGTAGGTAATGGAATCCGGGTGCGCAGATGCATGCATTTTCAATGCACTGTCCACCAATAAAAAGATATCTCGAACATTGTATTGTTTCCTCGCATTTGTCACCATAGGCCTTTGCGACTTTTGAAAAGTTTAACGATTCAAATCATTCGGCATTGTTAATTTTAATTCATTGATTGATGCGATAAAAAAAGAAAGAAAAAAGAAATAAAAACGAAAGAATTACCTCGTAGACAGGCGGTCATATCATTGTTGAAAACATAACCGGGTGAACATTGACATTGTTGTTCTTTACAGATACTACCATTGGTCGTACATTCTGCGTCTGATTTGCAACTCCATTCAATATTGTTCGTTGAAATATAATTATTCTCCAATGGATGATCGAACGAGGTACCTGAAATTATTACGAGTGTCCTATTATTTGATTTTGATAAGTTCGAAAATGTGACAAAGTGTGATTTGTTTAATAATTAATTTAATTTAATTATTAAATTAGTTTAATAAAAAATACGTTAGATAATTTATTTATACATTTATCATTACTAGTCTGATTATCGCGCATGCGCGTTATTCTACTAACAAAAAAGAGGAAAAAAAAAAACAAAGAAAGTTATGTAACCGCACGAGGATCATAAGCGCGCAATCTCTTTTTTCCTCCTTTCTCCCTTTCACGCGTGTGTTTATGGTTTTTAATCTCCTAGCACTATTCGTATCGCGAATGCATCTCGTTCTATTAAATTTTCAAGCTTCGTTTGCAATGCTTGCTCTTCGAGGCACCTTCAACATGTTTTCTCTGTTTTTTTTTTTTTTTCTTTTTTCCTTTTCGAATATAACTTGTGTACATGCGCCATATTTTCCAATTTCGTAATATTCTTGCAATTCATTTTTTCAATAATGCAAATGTACAAGCAATCTCTGAAAGTGGAATATCCGTTTCGATTTGTTTTTACTTTGACTATAAGTGTCTTATCTTTCAAGTATTTTTTTTTTTCTTTTTTTTTTTTCTACAAATTTTTACGTCAACAAATTTTACGATATAATGTTACTTTGTATAATTAATATTATTCGACGTAGGTGTCTTACCAAAATGAAAGAGGATTTGTATGATCAATAAACGAAGAAATGTAAAATTCGTAAATAACCACATGATCGTTGACTTAACAGTACAACTGTGTTCCGTGATACTGTTATTTTGCGTTGAAAATATAGAGTTTTATCAAACGTTAATGCTATCAGATAATGATTGAACACCTGGTTCGGTATCAAAAGAAATAATCACTAACTAAAGTATTATGAATTATTTCTTTGATAATGTATCTCTAAAAAAAATTTTTAAAAGGAGACTGTATAGAATATCGTAAAGTTTTAATGTTCATAAATCGTATGTAAAAAGAATAAACACGACAGAATGTTATTTTTTATAAGTTATCTGCATAATATCTCCGTAAATATTTTTAATTTGAATCGTGCGTAATAATGACGACTGAAGTAATCGAATGCATCATAAATATGTACGTACGCACACATAAACACACACACACAAACATATATATATATATATGTGTGTGTATATTTTGCGTTGAATACAGAAAATATATTGCACAACGTAAAAAATACGTATAAAGATATATCACGAAGTTACTCAGCGAAGTTGTTAAGTTATATAACAAAGTTATTTTAAAATAATTAATTATTTGATGTATAACAGTATAAGGAAAAAAAGAAAATATATGCACATAAATATCACGTGAATATAGCGTGTATGAGGACAATGATTAGTTCGAAGTTTTGTTTCGCATTTTCAATAATAATATGTGTTTATGTGATGAAAAAGTATTATAATAAATTGTATTATAATATATTAACCGGCTTAAGTTAAGCATTATTCCTTCATTTTAAAATCGCATATTTACATATAATTTCTCGTTATTACGTATTTATATTCGCATTAAAAATATTATGATCTTAGAAATATACGGTAATATCTGTTAGATATTCATAGTCAAGAGTGAACATAAAACGATCAGAGCTGACCTCATGAAATGATAAAAGCTGACCTCTCTGTCTCTTCCTTATAATCGTATGGATGTAGTAGTTCGACTAACTTATCTTAGCTTCGACCTTTTATTCCTATTTTCACTAAGTTTTGTCAGGCCGAGGTCACTTCTCTGTCGCACCGAACTGAACATTTTAACGATCTCGTTTATACGAGAGCGTCAGTTTGTCATCGATCTTTCATCATGAAGGGACGCTGGAATTGTAGCAAAGGTAAATGTATATTTCATTCTTCTAAAATCTTTTCGATTTATTTTGAAATTGATATTAGGAAATGTCAAAATGAATTGTTAACATTTTATCATTAGATTAAATGTTAAGATTGTTAGATTATAAACGAAAATATGTACAATAATAATAACGAATTCACGTATTACTTTCTTCTGTATAAAATTCTATATAATGTTTTATAGAGGAACTTGTCTCGGCAGAAGAAGGTTTAAAGATTAATAAATCTGTGACAAGGAGAAAAAGCTACTGCTATGAAAGATTTATACAGTATGTAAAATTGATCCTTCTTATTTTACTGATCTCTTTCGTTGGATGGAGCAGTTACACTATTTGGAAAGTGTATAGCCAGGAATCAATCGATTTATCCGGTCTCGGCTCGAGTTCTACTCAATATAACGACGATGAATCTTCGACAATTTCTAACAGAATATTGTCGTTATCATTGAGTAAATCTGAGAAAACGTTGGAAACTACGACGAGACAAAGTATTCTTTTAAACGACGATCTATTTCCAAGTGAAATTTATTCTATCGATAATCAGATGATCACAACTATGAAGATTCCTGAATCGAGTATAAAACAAGATATTTCAATAACGAGTTTCGAAAATACTGTTACGGAAGAGACGATAAAGAATTCGTTTAAATCGTCGATAAACGACCACGAAGAAGAAATAACAATGCCGACTTTGAATAAGAATGAGACTAAGGAATATGAAAATTCGGCGGACGAGTCAGTGATCGAATGGAGCTTCCCATTTATCAGGTCTATTTATGGTGACACTGATTCAATTACGGATGATTACTTGGAAGAAATTCGTAACGCTGAATTAGATGCACTGTTAAAAGAACTTGATGAGAGCAACGAGAAAGATGAGGAAAGTAATGAATTTTCGAAATTTCAAGAAAATTCTTTCGAAAAGGAAGATCTATCTGATGATCAGAATGATGAGAATAATCGTAGCTACGAAAAGGACGTTCCATCGTCCATCGAAATTATTAATAATTTGAAGAAGCTTCACGATTCCATAGATGCCATGATAAAGGATTTACATGTAGAGAATCGTCAAAGTGATTATGATTTATTGAAATCTGAAGAAAGTTCGATAAAGGATGAATCATCTAATCATTTGGTATTAGGATTAGATAGACAGTTAGATAGCATCGAGACACCATCTTCCATCTCAGGAGAAGATTCAGAAATAACAAAATCGAGTTTGTTTCACGATAGCTTGATTGAAGAAGATCCGTATAGGTTTCTCTTGGGAAATCACGATCACAGTTACCTCGAGTCGTCGATCCTTTCTTCTTTAGAACGCGTAGACTCTGAGAAGTCTGATACGTCGAAGGTGGACGATACTACGAGCGATTTAAAGAAGGGGTACTTGGAAAATATGGATAAGGATTTGTGGCTCTATCGTCAAGATAATAAAAGAGAGGACAGTGATATTGAAACAAATCCGACGGATAAATCTACGGAAAGGCATTTACTTATGGACGTATCTACTCCAGCTATTGTAGTAAACGATGATGACATAATACGAATTGTGGAACCTTGGATATTTTACGTCAATTCTCCAGTATTTTCATCAATGAACAATGTAAACTTGAAAAAAGAGATTGTCTTTACTAACTCAAGAAATGAAGATCCTAATAAAGGTGTCATTTGTACTATACAAACATTAAATAGGATAAATTTACTAAAGTGTTCATCAAATTCATTCGATACTTCCGAATCTTTTACGGAACAACCCAACGATGGTTCTTTCGAATCTTCTTCATATTTTATTCCAGATTCTGAGAAGGATACTTCAGAATCTTTTACGGAACAATCCAACGATGGTTCTTTCGAATCTTCTTCACATTTTATTCCAGATTCTAAGAGTGATATATTTACGGAAGAGGACAATGAATCTTTTTCAAATCATTATTCCTCTTCCGTTGAAAGTCATACAACAGACAATTCTTTGGATGATATGACATCATCTAACAAAAATATTGATATCAAAGCTAGTACGATTGAACAGGAATCGAAAGAAATCTCGATAGATTCAACAAATTCGGAATCTGAAATGTCGGATATCTCTTCAGAACGATGGATGAAATTCGAGTCACCTACAGATACGTACGATCAAGATAATACATCTAAAATTATAGAAGATCCAATACTTTGGTGGTTAGATGTGAATAAATATCGCACGAAGCGATCGACTGGTGAGGAAACGATAGAAAGAAAAAGACGTGGCATCGCGAAGATAATGTCGGGACAAAGTACGTTATGATGATGGACTTCATAGATAAAAGATCATCGTCTGATGCGCCATCATAAAATCATAAACGTAAAGAATAGTTTTTGTAAAAATTTTAATTTTGACAATATTGTCGATTTTCTAAAAAAAAAGTGAAAAAAGAAACGAATAAAAGTAAAATGGCGCGTTTAGCATGTTAATATTGGCCCTTTTAATATTTTTAACAGAAACTTTCTCGGACGATGAAGATTTATATGGGAAATGGATAAACGACAAAACTCGCTTACAAGATTGGATATGGATGCATGAAACTGAGATTATAAAAAATATGATTCGAGAATACTCAAACGAAGAATTGGACGAGAACATCGCGAAATTGTATTCAAAAATGGAGATTCTCTCTTCTCATATCGACATGTTGCACGAGCTTTATCTTCGACGACATAATTTGGAGGACGATTATATATCGCAGGAATTTCTAAACGATTCTTACGAAAATTAAAGACAATATCTCGGTTATATAAATATTTCAATATCAATTTATATTTATATTGAAATTCGCTGAGAGAGTAAAACATAAGATAAATAATAAAGGATGTATTTCTTGTAAATTTGTTCACTTATTATAAATTCCGTATTAAGAGAGAAAATTCATTCATATGTATATATATATATATATATGTATATATGATAAACATCGAATTATTAATGTATAATAACGAGGATGACCGTAATGAAATCTACGATGATATTCGTGAGTAATAAAAACATGTCGCAGGACAATTAATTTATTACTCGTATAACCGCAGTGAACAGTAAGCCTTGAACTTATTTATGCTAATCCGTTACGATTTATGTCAGTGTTAAGTCGATAACGCTTCTAAATGTTAACTAATTGGCAATTACAATTATTTGATCGATGATTACACAGCGGCCTATTTTCTTTTGGTCAGCCTCGTTACAATTTTCGCGATATGTCTGTATCATGAATTTAAAGTTTTTTTCGTGTCTTTGAATTTCTTCGCATTTTTACGAAATAATCAAATTAAACGTCAAGTTAAACGCGAATAACCGATTTAAATTGTTGTTTTTTTTTTTTTATCGAATGAGCGCGCAACGTCGTCCTTTCGTTGCCCTTCGAGTATTTCACGTTGATGTTAATAATACGCACGCGCGTACACATTCCAACTATTCGATCAAGATCACAAAATCGTACGACATGTTGCTTTCCTCTTTCCTCCTTTCTCTTTCCTTTTTAATTGCGATTTTTATCAGGAGCGTGCTCGCTATTACGAACGTTTCATGATTCATGCATAACGTTGATTTACGTTGGATTTACATTCGTCGTCTGTAAGTCCCTCTTTCTTTCTTTTTTTTTTTTTCTTTTCTTTTCTTTTTTGTTTTTTGTTTTTTTTTTTTTTGTTTTTTTATCTATATTCTTTTTTAACCAACCAGTCATCGTCATGGTCGGACGAATTAAATGAGGATCGTAAGCTGACCTTAAAACCTTATCTTTCAAATTGATTCTACGTGTGTTTGTAAAAGGGGGAAAAAATTTACTTTCTATTTTAATTTGCGTGAGCCTGGCAGTCTCATTATTATTTTTTCTTTTTTTTTTTTTTTTTACTTTTTTGATCAGTGTATATTCCACGTCGATCTTGAAGTGTCGAAACTTTCAGAGATCTAGGTGGAAACAAAAGAAAAAGATATCGTGTGACTAATGATATCGGTCGACACGCTCGACATGCTCGATATGTAAATTATAGTTAGTGTTGCACCATTTACACGAACAAATACGGATTGTTACGTGTGAAAAAAACAAATCCTCGCAACTTTGCTTATTGTTAGCAGTAAAAAGCAATAAAGACAATTGCAATAAATTTTCGAGTCTTTTTTCGTGCACCCGTCACCGGAAGATTCTCCTTTATTCTTGATAGGAATTAATGTTATATTTTATGTCTTCCATCTATTCCTTCTCGCAATTCTCGTGCTATAATAATCGAGTCGTTTTTTTTTTAAATGACGAAAGCAGATCGACCTTTTACTTTCACTGACAAGCTACGATTATGATAAATGCTAGATTATCGATCGATTTTTTTTTTCTTCTTACGTGGCAACTATCGAATCAACGTCAGAAATTGTTTGTGAAGAGATAAAGAAGAATCGATCGATCGGTGGATACCATGTAAATCGGTACAATATTAAAGGGTGAAACGAGCGTTTCGTTTCTTGCGGGTTGGATGCGATTAAAATAATTACAGGTCTTAGGGCGTAACTTATTTCCCACGTTAGAATTAGTAATAACACGGAGAAAGTCATTTTAAAGTTTCGTAGTAAGGTTTAAAAGTGAAGTTCAGTTATTTTTCGAAACGCATATTATTGAAAAACGATAATTATAATTATCTAGTTTTACGCGTATCATGAATTCGTCATTTATGTTATCGCTTCGCTTTTAGAAAAAAAAAAGAAACAGTTGTTCTTGAAATTTAAATTATCGATAAAAAAAAAAAAAAAGAAAAAAGCATCGTACGTGGCAAACTGTTTTTCCTTCATTAACTTTCTCTTTGCGTACTTTTGTCGTGCATAAACAAATGTTATAAACGAGTGTGTAAGGAGCTTGGCACTTTCTTCTTCGATCGAAGGCAAGGAAAGAAGTCAAAGCGTGCACGTATCGTTAAGAGGAGAGGAGAAATCAAGGTAAGAACGTTTTGGCATAGGGTGTTTGCCGGTACGGTAGTGGTAATATGCGCCGGCTTTAGGGTGGGGGTTCTTTCGAAGGCTTAAAAGGCCTACCAACGTCCTTGCAACACGCAGTCTACGAATCAGACCTAATACCCTACCACTTCTGACTTCTTGCTATGTAAAGGAAATTCCTGTGAAAGCTTTTTTCCATTCGCAAAGAGTGAAACGTTAAGAAAAGAAATTGTATCGTTTAAGGGTTTCTCATTGATAACGATATTTCGCGAGAAAAGAAGGAGGTTTCGTTGTAAGAACGGTGTGGGAATAAGAAAATAGAAGACAAAGGAAAAAAAAAAAAACAAACAAACAAACAAAAACAAAAAGAAAGGACAAAAAAGTGCGACTGTTCTCTTCTTCTTTTTCACTTTGCAAATTATTAAAAATCTATCGTTTTTGCGTAAAGTGTTATAACGTGTCGAACGTGACCGAAGAGTGATAACGACACTTCAAAGGGAGTTCTCCAAAGAGTATATTCATTTTCAATGAAAAATATGAAGGAAGAAATGAATTTTTGGATTTGTACTTCGGCTATTTTAATTGTTTTCGTAATTTTACCATCGACGAGCTACTCTCTTACAACTTTTGGAAAGACCAATTCGCAAAATCAAAATCAAAATCCACCACCGCCTCCTACTCCGGGTAAGTCAAAGCGAAATCTCCGAGATAAATCCTTCGTGAATTAACGTAATCCTTCTGATAGAAGTTATTAAATGAGTTTGATCAAAGGACTTCTGCCTTGCGTTTCACGGTAATCTTTCCCGTTTCTATCATTCCCTTTTACGCGGTGCAGATTTTGCAAAGTCGATTAATACTTCCGCCATATTTCTCGCCATTATCTAATACGTACAAAAGATTGAGATAATTAATTGAAAATTTTCGATAAATTTATCCTTTATGGTTACGTAGAAAGTGTAACAATCCGGATATTAACCAAAATTAATCTTTTCCGATCTTCGTACTTTGATTTAGTCTTGAATATTTTATTTTTATCATATTTTCACACGTAAAAATTTCAATGAGGCCGCAAGAGAATTCGTTTGAAGTCTTCCTTCCTTTTTTTTTTATATTATCCATTACGTCGTAAAGAGTCCCTTCACTATGGTGTGACCAAGATCGCATATCTTATAAGGGAATCTTATATTTCGAGTGTCAAGGGCATGACACTCACAAATGCAAGCCAATGTCTTAAATACCGAAGGTGAAATAGTTCCGACGAACTCAAAACGTTGGAATAATTTGTCGAATCGATAATTTCGAAATCTTGTTTTTTTTTTTTTTTTTTGATTGTTCCAAATTTATTTATTTTTTCGTTTATTTTTTCGTTCCTAATACGATTTTATTTATGTCGATGCGATATATCAAATGAAAATAAATGACGTTTATGACAAATCTGTCTTTTTCCGATAAGAAATTTTTTATTATCAAATTTCATAACGTTCTTCTTGATCTTATTTCAGTAGGAAAGGCGCGAGAATGTAGATCAGAATCGGATTGTGCTGGAATTCAAAATACTACGTGTTTGGCCGATCAAAGGGATGGAAAGACTCGTTGCCTTTGTGGTGATTACAATGCTCCTGTAAACGGTGCTTGTAACAACAAATACAAAGGTAAATTTCTATTACGAATTATAAATGGTTGCTCTTTTATATATATGTACCAAAAAAACAAAAAAAAAAAGAAAAAACAAAAATAGGGATTACTCCTGAATTTACGTAAAAAACGTGAAAATTTTTTCAAAGTTTCCTACAAAGTAAACTGAAGTTTCGAATGGTTACGATAGAAGTTCCACAAGTTGGTGGCACATAGTAACATTTGCATACACTTACGTGTTCCCTTGCAATATGTGAACATATGACGATGTACGTACCGCGTTTATGGTTATCTATGCAAATTGGCACACCTTAAGAGTACTATCGCTTCTTATACTGTTCATCGTCTTCTTTTAAGAATATTCGATCTTGTACGAAAAGAAAAGAAAAAAAAAAAAGAAGAAGAAAAAATAAAAACACGAAAAGGACATTACAAACGTATAATAAAGTTTTCTATTGTTCCCCCGCACGATCATCTATAATGAAAAAAAAGAACTATTTTTTGCATGTCGTAAAACTATCGACAGTCAGACCAATAAATATCGAAAGATTCTTCACACACACATATATATATATATATATATATATATATATATATATATATATAATATATGCATGTAAACGTACAATTTTAGGAATTGAACGGAAATGAAACAATTTGAATTGATAATACGGTATTAGAAGCGTAGTACTATGTAATTTCGTACTGACAGGCACACATTATAACATTAAACACGTCAAGCGTACATCTTATAGATTTGTTGCGAACGATCAGCCTAAATCACGTTATAGATTCTTTCATGCATGAATGATTATAAGTGCAAACCCGTGGAAAATTAATACGGCGACGATGAGTTTACCTTTTCTTAATAATGCATTCGATTTTGTTAATTGGGCTGACCTACTTTCTTGACGCGATAAATATTTTCTTTCGAGAAATAGTCTAATTTTGCCAAATTGTTAAATATTTCTCTTTTCAGCTATCAGGGCATCTTGCAACGATGATAATGAATGTATCGAAGGGGCGCATTGTACCGTTAAAGGAAATAACACTACCTCCGGAAAACGTTGTTACTGTCGCGAAGGATACGTCGAGAATAATTTGATGTGCAACGGTAATCTAAATTAATATTTGTTAAAATAAGATAACGTTTATTTAACTTCATTAATTTTTCAGGCTGTTCATCCATCTTCTCACTTTCCTGGATGATATTTCTTGTTACAACGTTGCTCTTAGGAAGGATTAATTATTTGTAAATCCTTCGATACGTTTAAAAGAAAATTCTTGTAAAATGTAATTATTTAAAAATCTTCATTTTTGTTTGTTTGCTTAATTACAATGACGTACTTATTTAAAAGTGTCAATAGCGGTTGACAAGTCAGTGAACAATTTTTTTTTTAAACTCGAACACTCGACTAAAAAAGATATTAAATATTGGGTACCTTCTGTACGTTCCACGTATATTAAACATTTTCCAATATCATATTTTCATCTGATTCGATTTACGTAACGAAAGAATGTATAGAGTTTTATTTTTATTTTTTCTAACGTATTTCATTACGTTTAGTTACAGTCATTAGACGTATTAAACACTTGATGCATCATATTTCTATATTAACAAAACTTTGACTGGCGAATTCGTTTACATTAGGAGCAACCAACTCAACGAAGTATGAATTTCACATGAAAATAAATTCATTAGTATGCGATCGATAAGATGTAAGTCACAAAATGTGAATTATACGACCACCACCGAATTTTCTTATTACGTATCGAAGTGTGCTCATGAATCAAAATAAATAAATATATATATATATATATATATATATATGTATATATATATATATATATATTTATATTTATATTTATATTTATATATATTTAACGACATATATGATTCAGACTGTATTTAAATAGTAGGTTTCAAATTTATTTATTATCTATAATATGCAATTTATTTTTACTATGATATGATTAGGCTTGAATAATAAATTAATACGTCTGAAATTCTTTAATAGAATTTATAGAAAAATTATTCTCGATTGTCGATATTTTAATCTCTGGAGTATATCTACACTGAATAATAGTACAATGTGTATTTTCTATCTTGTTCTTTACTTAAAATTAGTAGTAGGCGTGAAGTCTGCATATGCCAATGATGCCTTAATGTACCAAAGATATTGCACTAGAGAAATATCGTTAATTATTTAAGCTAATGCATATATTAAAAGAAGATATATAGTATCGATGATCGCAATATTTACTTTAGTATTAGTGCCTTTTGTAAAGTTTGTAATTTGATAATGATTTAACAAGTTTATGACACACACTCTCTCTCTCTCTCTCTCCTCTTCGATTATGTACTTACTTCGATTTCTCATGCACGAATAAATTTTGAAATCCTTATTAATTTCTATCATAATCCTATTATCTTTCGTTTGTTTAAATCTAATTATGATGCATGGTATAAGAATAAAATAATAGTAGAAAAAAGAAGACATGATTTTTTATGCTAACAATCAGTTCTAATTTATTTAATGAAATTATAATATGTAATTGGATTCGTTGTATCAATTAAATATTGTTTATTTTTTTTTTAAAGACCAATTGCGTAACCATATTGCCATGTTTGCCGCCAAATTGAAATGAATCGACAGGAAGTTCATGAATAAAATCATATTCTGAAAATAATTATAGTACGATTAAATTAATATTATTAATATTATGATCTTTATTTTAACTTACTATTCTTGAAATGAATTAATAATTCATCTTTGGTCCAATTGCACGAAGTTAAAATTAAATATCCATTTGATTGAAGGATATTATACACATTATCAATATATTTTCTTCGTTTATCAGCTGGCTGTTCAGGATGAAGACTGATCGCATCGTAAGTACCTTTGTCGTGCACCACTTTGAAATAATTCATTAACAATCCATGTTTATCGATATCGAGAATATCGCATACTTGTAAATTCGAACAAGACACATTATTTTCTTTCAATACTTCATTAGCTAAATCAATAGCTTTCTGAGAATAATCTATTCCGGTTAGTAGTTTAAAACCTTTCTTAGCAAGTTCTACTAACATCATACCATTTCCACAACCTATATCTATTATTCTATCGTTTTCCATATCGAGATTTAATTTTGTGCTGATCCATCTGTTGGAAAAAAAAAAAAAGAAATATGAATATGATAGAAAAGAAAAAACATAGGAGGAAGTTTCAAAATATATAATAAAAGATTAAAAATCGTTCATTCTTTATTTTGTTATATATTATCTTCAAATTCAAATTCAACGTTTGAAATTTTCGAACGTTAATGAGAGATGGCGCTGGTAGTACAATAGAACACGATAAACGCAGTTTATGTTTTCGCGGCAAAGTGCATTAATTCTCCGTGTTTATTATTCACCTTTAATTTTTTTTTTACGATTAACTTTTATTAAATGGTGTTCTTACTTGACAATATTCAGTGAAGCCCTATTACCGAACCATATTTCACCTACGTCTCCGTGATCCTTGAAATTATCGAGTTCTTCGGTGTACACCTTTTCCCAACTGCAAGCAGAAAATTTAAGAGATGAACGTTAAAGTTTCTCCTCGTTTCTCCTTTACGCACAAATTCGGTAAGTTTCTATACTTACAAATCCAAAGTACCCAGATCGGATGGTCCTAACTCTTCAATAGTTTCATCCGTCATGATACTATATAAATATTATCTGTCCTCAAGGAAAATGATTATTTCACGATAATCAAAAGTTAAATGCGACAAAAATTAAGTACCTCCGTAACGAAGAATCCACTTGGTTTCTGACGGTTGAATATTCTCGATGCGTTTGCACATGTCTTGAGAGCTTGCTGAGTTCGACAGACCGAACATAACCTATAATACTTACTGTATTGATTATCATCGTGATTTTGCACAACGTTTATTTCGCGTAATATTATTACATTTCTTTCGTGCAAACGTTTTCTTACTTTTTAACGTTTTATAAAGTGTATTTATTGTCAAGATGAGTATTATTAATTTATCAAGTTTTATACAATTAGGTAAGTAAATTTGTAATACATTTTTCTAATTCACTTTCTGTAGTAATATATTTATCATACATATCAATTTTTATAAATTTCATTAGAATTAAATTAATTGTATAATGAAAATACCTTTGTATGACATTTGTAATTCTATATACAGGACAATGTGTAGGAAAAATATTACGTTTATCTACACGAGCTATTTCAGTGAAATCATATATTAATCCTTTGGAGAAACCAAAAACTGGTATATTAATGTTGAACATGGGAGGACCAAATAGTATATCCCAAGTTTATGGATATTTATTACGTATTATGACAGATCGTGACATGATCCAATTACCAATTCAAAGGTTTAATATAATATTTTTCATGATATTTTTCATATATTGTACACATATAATAATAATAATAATAATAATAATAATAATAATAATAATAATAATAATAATAATAATAATAATAATAATAGTAATATATATGTATATATATTGATCTCAAATTTTTGGTTATATTTTGGTTATATTTTAGTCAACTTGGACCGTGGATTGCTAAACGTCGTACACCTGAAGTACAAAAAAAATATTCTGAAATAGGTGGTGGATCTCCTATTTTAGAATGGACTAATAAACAGGGTGAACTATTATGTAAAAAATTGGATCAAATTTCACCAGAAACTGCGCCACATAAATATTATGTAGCTTTTCGCTATGTTGATCCTCTTACAGAAGATACACTTAATGAAATAGAACAGTAAGAATTCTATTAAACATGAATCCTGATTTATTAACTATAGAAAACATTTATATATATTTTCAGAGATGGAGTAGAACGCACAATCATATTTTCACAATATCCACAATATAGTTGTGCCACATCTGGATCCAGTTTTAATGCTATACATGCATACTATAAAAATAGGTGATAGGATTTATTTATTAAAAATATTTGTTCATAACTGTTCAATATCAATACATTAATTAATATTATTTACAGAGAATTACCAAAAAATATGAAATGGAGTATAATAGATAGGTGGGCGACGCATCCACTTTTTATCAAAACTATTGCACAGAGAATTAAGGATGAGCTTGGACATTTTCCTAGTGACAAAAGAAAAGATGTTATGATTTTATTTTCTGCCCATTCTCTTCCATTAAAGGTTAATTTATTTTTATATAATAACCTTTAATTTATTTAGACTTTAGTTTCATTTTTACTTTATTAAGGAATATATATTGATTTGATGTCATTCGTTTATTTTAGGCAGTAAATAGAGGAGATCCATATCCCTCTGAAATTGGAGCTACGGTTCAATTAGTTATGCAAGAATTACAGTTTTGCAATCCATACAGTTTAGTGTGGCAATCTAAGGTAGATAATTCTTTTAATGTGTTTAAATCAGAATTAATTAACATATATGATGTGTACATGTTGTTAAAAAGGAATTGAGATGCAAAAAAAATCGATTTTGACTTTTTTATGCTTTTTTTTTTGTAGATAAAAGTATGCTCTTTGCAATGAGGCCAAATCCAATTTCCTAAAATAATTATTGACTTCATAATTAATAATTACATGAAACAAAATAGACCATCCTATTATGAAGTGTATAAATTTTAACTAAAATGCGTTTATCTTGTAAATTCGTTTTCGCACGTTATACCTTTTCTTTTTTTTTTTTTTTTTTTTTTTACCAGAGCACGTCACGTATAATTAATTTGTTCTTTAGGTTGGACCTTTACCTTGGTTAGCTCCTTTTACGGATGAGGCATTAAAGGGTTATGTAAAACAAGGAAAGAAGAATTTTATTTTAGTACCCGTTGCATTTGTTAATGAACATATAGAAACGCTTCATGAAATGGATATCGAATATTGTCAAGAATTAGCAGAGGAAGTAAGAAGATTAATGATCTTATTGTCTATAGAATTAAAATTAAAATATTTCATTTATTTTCAGCTTGGAATTGAAAATATAAGAAGATCCGCGGCACCGAATGATCATCCATTATTTATAGATGCTTTAACGGATATTGTTGTTAATCATTTACAATCAAAACAGACCATAAATCCGAAATTTTTGACTCGGTGTCCTCATTGCGTAAATAAAAATTGTGGACAGAGTAAACAATGGTTTGCTCAAATTTGTAAATAATAAAGCTAATGTAATGATATAAATTAAGTTCTATATTTAAATATATACATATACATATATATATATATATATATATATATATATATATATATATATATATATAATTATTTATATCGTAAGTTAATAAATATATTTGGGAACGGATTTGTATTGTTTTCTGTGTAATTAATCGTAAAAAGAATCACAGTAAAAAAGCAATGATATACTTTTCAATCATTACGAAAAATAAAATGAACGTTTTATTGCACGATTATTTAATGTGCACGTAAAATTTAACTCATGAAACAACCATGCCCGTTGAAGGGCAATTAAATTGACCTTGTATTTACATTCGTGATATTATTGCGAGTAGCAACATTCGGAGAATATTCTTGAGGTAATACTTAAACAAATTTATAGGAACGTTTATCGAACAGAATTAAAATATTAAATTAAAGTTTTAACCATTTAAAAATATTTCCAAGTTAAAACTTAAAAACAATGGAATTTAATTGAAACGATTAGATGCATGTTCTCGCGATAATATCTTTGATAAAGATAATTGTTATAAATATATTAAAGATATTTCTGAACATTTATAATAAAATTCGTCATTGAAAATGACGTATACGTTGGTTCGTATAAGTTTGAAGGGAGGTAAAAAAAAAAAAATTAATGAAAGAAGGAAAAGGACAAGAAAAAAAAAATCCGATATAAATAGATATATCATTTAATAATCATTTTATTATTAAATGATGTAAATCGTTCGCTCGGGATTTTAAATTGACACTCGCGTCAATATATATTTTTCAGATCGCAAAGACGACAGAGTATATCGCCTGAACGACAACGGCAATAACAGTAGCGATAACGTTGGTGGTAAAGACAGGAAGAAGAAAAAGAAGAAGAGTAACGATAATAAAGAGAAGAAGGAGAAGAGAGGAGAGGGTTGTCGTCGTCGTCGTCGTCTTCCTCGTCGTCTAACAGAGCGTTCGAGATATCGAGCGTGAGCGCCGGCGTGGCGCTGCTCGCGACGGCGCCTATATAAATGTACGATGTCGGCGGGCGCGCTCAGTACGTGTCATGCTTTGCCAGTGGGAGCGTCGTCTGTGATGGCGGCCCGTGTGCGGTTGAAGATGCAATGCGGCACCGTATCATTGCCGCTCGTTGTTTTCATCGTTGTGTGCGGTGTGGATCTTGTGTGTGGAATGTTCGAGCATCGTCATTGCAGTCATCAACACCCGCGTGCTCACGAGGTAAACTTTTATTATATATATAATTTCTTTCCTTACGTCACTTTATTACGGGGTGGGGGGGGGGGAGGGAAAGGAAAAAAAAATAGGAAAATTTTTCCTCTTTCTTTTTTCTCCCTTTTGTATTCTCTTTTAACTTGTTTTCTCCATTGCACACTCATTTCCCCTTACATTTCCTTTTTTCTATGAGTTTGTTCACAGTGGTCTCTCTCTCTCTCTCTCTCTCTCTCTCTCTCTCTCTCTCTCTCTCTCTCTCTCTCTCTCTCTCTCTCTCTCTCTCTCTCTCTCTCTCTCTCTCTCTCTCTCTCTCTCTCTCTCTCTCTCTCTCTCTATTTCTCTTTCTTTTTCTTTCTCTCTCTCTCTCTCTTTCTTTCTCTCTAACCTTCGTCCTTTCGTTCGAAGAACAAGACGAGATATGCCGGTTCAACCGGCTCTGCTTATGCTTCTTCTCTTTCCCTCTTGTTCTCCCCCTCGTTCTATCCTTCTCACTCTTACTTTTCATTTTCTCTCTTTCTCCCTCGCTCTCTTTCTCTTTCTCTCTCTCTCTCTCTCTCTCTTTCTCTCTTCCTCTTCTAGCCTTTCCCTCTAAACGCGTCCTCCTCGCTCGATTTCTATCTTACCTCCGAAGGAATCTCTTCTCTGGTAGACGTTGAACATAATTTCTTCTACAGATTCTTCGACTTCCGTGTATTACGACGGAATCTACGTTTTCGCGCGTCATGTGTTCTCTTTTTTGTCTCTCTCTCTCTCTCTCTCTCTCTCTCTCTCTCTCTCTCTCTCTCTCTCTCTCTCTCTCTCTCTCTCTCTCTCTCTCTCTTCTCTTTCTCTTTCTCTATCTCTTTCTCTATCTCTATCTATCTATCTATTTCTTTCTTCTTTGGCTTCTTCTTTTTGTCACGCTTATAATCAGCGTAACGCGGAACTTTCGAAACAGTTTTATTTATTTTTTTTTATTTTTTTTTTTTTTTTACATTGAAAAGTCTACATCTTGTTGACATTTGCGGCTAACCCTTTGTCCTTTTTGTCAATATCGAAGTCACGTATTATATTTTCCGTTCCTTTTTTTCTTTCTTCCTTTTTTCTTTTTTTTCTCCTCTCTAAAAAGCAAAGTCATAAAAGGAATGAAACAATCGATCCACATCGATCGTATTTCATTACAAAGCGTCGTTTCGTGTCGAGTATTGAACATCTCGTGACATGTTCCATGTTCCAGCATATCGAGGACATTGATAATTAGTGTCAAGTGCGCGTGATAATTTTTCACCTTTTTAAGCGTTGCTTGGACGAGTACCTTTTTTGTCCTTTTTTTTTTTTATTTCCTGTACTTATTTATTTTCTTTCTTTTTTTCGAAGAATGACGAAGAAGAGATCATTCAAGATAAAAAAAAGTCGCTAAAAAGACGCGCGCACGTGGTAAGTTCAACATGCGCGGGCCGACCACGTGCTTTTATAGCGGTCACGTGCTCTCTCTCTCTCTCTCTCTTTCTCTTTCTCTCTCTCTCTCTTTCTGAAAAAGAATGAGAGAAAGTTCTTTCTGAAAATAAATGAAAGATAGTTCTCGTTTCTGGGAAAAAAAACAAAAAAAAAAATTGTCATTCGAATAATTATTCATAAATACGATCGGATATTTTTTGATAAGATTAATTTATTTCATAAAACAATTTAACTTGTTTATTCGTTTTACTGCGATTTGAAATTATATCTTTGAAATTATATCTATAGGTGGTATATTGGTTTGTTTTGATTTTTATTTTTGATATATTGAAGAACATTCTTGGATATGATAATATGTACATACTCGTATGTAAACATGTAATGTATTTATCACGTGGTAATTTCACTATGGTACGCATGATTGAGTTTTAACAAACTCGATCGATACTATTCACGGTCAAGTATTATATCGTTGAATTACCAACACCATCATCTGTATCTATGTATGTATATAGGTATACGACGTTCAATCATCGGAGTTTATTCACCACACATCAGCTTCGTTGGCGATCGAGAGAGTTATATCTCATAACTTTCACCACCGTACAGCGTACGTAATTATGAAGATTGTACGGTCAATCGTTTACTTCCAATAACGATTGATTTCCTCTGGGCTTTTTTTTTCCCCACTCCACCCCTCTCATGTCACAAGAATATTCATTAAATTAATCGAACTTTTCCATTTTCAGAGATAATGATAATGATTAATATACCACGATCGAGAATTCAATAGCAAGTCATTCTCAAAAATGGATTTCTTTATTTTTTTCTTTTGCTTTTTTTTTCCTTTTTTTTTTCCTATTTTTTCTTTTTTTTTTTTTTTATTGAATCAATGTAATCATACGTTTAATTATCTCCGTAGAAATGAATCCGATATATCTCGTGTATACGTATATCGTGGACAATGTCAGCCTTGTATTTCGTCGATACGATTTTGACGATCGATAATCCTTAATTAGTGTGCGGCTATCGAGCCATGACTTTATGAATAACTACGGACAGAAGAGTTAACTTGAATCGGTCACGATTACGTTTTCACGAGAGGAACTGCATTTGTCGATAGCGTTGCAGCTGTTACGTGCACTTTCATTTCGGGCCCTCTTCTCTCTCTCGCTCTCTCTCTCTACTCTCATATCATCCTCTATTTTCCCTAGGATACAAAGCAATCGGTGAATGCGATTGAAGTTTTGAAATCTCTATTTCACTTTCTTCTCTCTCTCCCTCTCTTTCTCTCTCTCTCTCTCTCTCTCTCTCATTCCTTCTTTTATCTTTATTTTTCGTCGAAAATAAAATCCATGAAACTATACATCTACATGGAAAAGAGATATCGCATATTTTTTCATCCCCCTCTCGAAAAAGTTATTCCATAGAACTCTATCGCGCGCGATCTATCTTTTTAACTTATACTTATACCTCCTCTCCCCCTGTGGCCTGGTAATAGAATACGCCGACAGTATCCCTCTTGCTTGTCGTAAAAGCCAACTAAAAAGGGTTGAGATTATTCTCACGAGTCTATTTCGTAAAATAGAATTTACATTTTGAAATATTTTAATGTAAGGAAAGGAGAGTCGAGGGAGCTAATACAATATATTTATGAAAAAAAAAAAAAAAAAAAAAATGGCCAATTAATTCGTCTCGAATGAATTTTTTGTATTAAATAAAACTAAATCCCAAAGTGATCTCACAGGATTGATGATTTCGTTTTTTTCAGGCTCGCACACGCATACGTACGTACACCTACGTGCACACATACGCGTCTTTTGTCATTCCGACTTTATCATAGGCACCTTCGATATCCTTTTTTTTCCCCCTTTTTTTTTCTTTTTTTTTCTTTTCGCCACAATATATGTGAATGTAGTGTGGTGGTGGTGGTCACGCGCCAATATAACAAAGTATCGATGTACGACGGTGGTATACCTATTTTTTTTGTGACGCGTTCAGGAAACCGGTCTTCTATAGCGCAACGTTTCTCAATCTAACGCGGGTCGTGTTAAATTTTTAAATTGAGAATGTGAAACGATTGCTTGTTATATTCTTACGTCAAAGCGAGAAAGGTGATCCATTTATAAAATATTTCAAAGAAGTTCTCGTGGAAACTAGTCGTATCTTTAATAAAGAATAATATACAGTGTCTCTAGTTTAACCGGTTTCTTAAAAATCATAATCATAAGCATTTGGGCTGCGATGTTATTACAAAAGTATTGGAGACCGCACTAACTGGCTAAATGATTGATTGAGTAATATTACTTTAATGTTGTATCGCTTATAATTTATAATTTACAATCACGAAATTCTTTCTCTTCGCTAATAGAGGATTATTTATTTATCCATATTTGATTATAGATCTGCATTCTCTATAATATTTTTTTAACCTAAAATAAAAAATCACCGACTATCATCATATACGATTATAGTTTCGCAATCTAATGAAGTGAATAAATGCAGATTCTCTGCAAAATTTTTTCAAGATGACAGAGTCAAATGTACGTAAGTAAAAAATTTTAATGGTAATGGTAAAATATTTTTTGCGAGGTTCGCGTTAAATTGCCAAAGACATTTGTTTGGAGTCTTATTGTGTCGTCCACAAAAATTCTTTTTTACGATACCATGTTAGCTCTCTCTCTTTCTCTCTCTCTCTCTCTCAAAGTGTAAAATTTAGTCGGTGGTACGACGTTATATGGTCAATTTGAGAAAGATCAGGTGTGTGTCTCGGTATGGTCTACTCGTTCGAAGTACAAGCATTTTCCAGTTTTCAAACGACGGCTGTTAGTCGGCAGCAAACGTGTACGAAAGCGTTTCGTACAGGCCAGAACGATGGAAAAAGGAAGTAAAGTGTGAGAGGACGAGCGAGGAAAGTAGGAAGGAAGAGATACGTTCGTTTTAAGGACGCTTTCAGCCTGAATTTGAATGCGAATAAAAGTTTACGGTCGACGTGGCGTGCTGCAGCCTCTTCTCTCGTGAGCTTCTTCTCCTCCTCCTCGTCTCTTCTTTCTCCCTCTCTCCTTTCTCCCTTTCTCTCATTTTTCCCTACCTCTATTTATTTTTCTCTTCACGAGCCTTTTTTACGCCCTTCGTTCGTCCTCTACTTGTATCTTCCTCCTCATCCTCCTCCTCCTTCTCTTCCATTTTTTTTTTCTTTTTCATTTTATTTTTTCCTTATACGTACGTGAAATAAGTCCTTCCTTATCCGATGATCTCTTGCGCAATGTCACCGTCGTCTCTAGTCATAATTCATATTTTAACTCGGTCGAGTTATTCTGAAAGAGTAGAACGCACAGGACCTTCGAGGAGGAAGGTGAAGGAGGTAACCGATGAATTATGCGCGTTTCTTGTTGGCTCCAGGCCAAGTCTTACTCCTTGGATCCGATTCTTTTGTGTTAATCTTAATCTTTTTTTTCTTCTCTCTCTCTCTCTCACTCTCTCGCTCTATCCTATCACTCTTTCTCTTTTTTCCTATCTTGCGACGATACTTCGAACGTTCCAGAAGGGCAGAGTAATTTCACGTTTAA